ACAACCCTTAATCAGTTATGGCGATACAAAATTACAAAAATCTTTACCGAATCACAAAATCCACGTAACCTTAAGACTTCCAACAGCGGCAAAACTAAAATGAATAGCATGGAAATGATATAATCAAGATGTTGATGTGACTTCGAACTCACAAATATGAAAATGCGTGTTAAGTAACTGAAGTTTTCCAATCAGGGGCTATTCGGGTGTCCCATGTGTTCACAACTTAGGCGCAGCTAGATCGATCACCTCTTGAGATATTGCGGACAGCCACTGACATACTGTGAGACACGTAATCTGTATACGGTAGTGAGGTTGTCTCCTTTCACCAGGCTTTGCAGAGGTTTTGGTGCGGCTCTGATAGAAAGTCCATTTTGGTATCATCTAGAGTGGGCGTAGTGTATACTAGAGTAATCACAGGTTAACTTCTCATAGAATAAATGTTCCTTATTGACATTAAATTTGATTTAGACCATCTAGTATTTTCTGATTTGAATCATATGCTACAATTAAATTAATATAATTTCGGATAATTGTTTTTATGTCTAGACAATGCCTTTTCTCCCTTGAGACCGACATTTGGCTTGAAAAAATTCAGGTTCACATAAGCGTAAATAGAAAATTCATATATCAGGAAATTCATTTTATTTACAAAAGCAAAATGTAGGAGAAAATATAAATAGTGACTAATAACTACGCTGCTCCTGATGTCTTTTTTTTTCTACGAACACACAATAAAATAAAATAAAAAAAATCTGTTTTAAAACAATTTGAAAATATATACGGCAACCAAAAAGTCCTTACCGTTTTTTGCATCGTGTGGGAAGAAATGAGTGTGTCACATGGGTAGATGTGGCAGAGGAGGAGTTTTTTTTTAAAGAAATAGTTTGTTGCATGTAAGTATTTATATAATGTTTTCATTTTTCAAAACGCGGTCAAGATATTGTGTTCATGTTCTTAGTTAATATTATTAAGTGTTGATTTTTTTTGTTTTTATTAAGAAGGCTTCCATTATTTTTAGCCTTTTTTGCCTGTAGATGATACTATATCTATGTTACGAATATTTCTTATTTAACAGTTAAAATATTTAATCCTTGATTTAATCCTAAATGTATAGCCGAAAGCGCTCGGATAAAAAGAACATTTGGACAGTTTTTATATAATTTTTTTCATCTGAAAAGAAAGACATTATTAGATCGCATGAGAAATTGTATAAAAAACTAAATAAAAACACTTTGTCTGCCGTATTCAGTGAAATATATATATATATATATATATATATATATATATATGATTGTAAAGAAATGTTGTCCACGTATGCTCATAATAATAATATTGATGATAAGACTAATAATATTTATTGTATGTTAGTAGGCCTTTTGACCAAATAGAAGTATGATGAAAAAAGATGTTAAAAAGACAGGAACGCAGAAAGTCCGAGTTAAAATACATTTTAAAAATATATTTTCACATTCTTGGTTTGAAAAGGAATTTAGGCATACTTAAAGAATCCGGTTTCCTTAAAATACCTTCTATAAAATATCTGCAACGCTAATCTGAGCAAACCCTCTATAATCCTAATGATGGAAAACTCTGCACAAGCCTAATCATGGCAAACAACTAGACCAACTATTCAGTAATATAACACATGTGGAAAAAATTCCCCCGGAAAAGAAAGTCCAATTACTTTTTTTTATTTCTCTTTTGTTGAGAAAGGACACAAGTATGTCCAAATATTTCGATTTTTAATATCTTTTTTAATATCGTTTTTCTATTTGGTCAAAAGGCTTATTAATATACAAAACATATTATTAGTCGTATTATTAATATTATTATTGTATTTTTATGCCTCGAATTTCTTTTATCTATCTACGTATCCCAGCCTGTTCATTATCTATCTATCTATCTATCTATCTATCTATCTATCTATCTATCTATCTTCGTCTGTTTATATCTGTCCGCATTCTATCTATCTATCTATCTATGATACCCTACATATATATATATATATATATATATATATATATATATATATATATATATATATATATATATATATATATATATATACACTCTTATACCTTCGTACATATTGCCTTTTCTATCTATCTATCTATCTATCTATCTCTAATGGTTTTATTGCTTATGTCCGTTCAAAATCACGGAATTCCTTTTTTATTTCTTTTCCTTTGAGGAATAAGGTTTTTCATCAAACTTTCTCCTCCATCAAAAAGATTTTCTCATTTCATTAAAATATTTGAAAAAAATACAATCTTTTTTCCTTTGTAAACTGCAATAGGCCTGTAATTTATAAATTTTTGGGAGATTTATATGAAAGCGAAATTAATGTTAGTTTTCATTGAAAAACTTACGAACCGAATTGTGTTTAGATTAATTTGAAAATACACGCGTATATGCTGCACAGCATCCAAACATATTTGCTTGCATTCGTCCATATTTGAATACTGCTGCAACATCTAGTCCAGTGTTACCGCTGTATATTTAGAGATTCTTGATAAAATTCAAAGCAATATTATTGGTCCTGACTTGGCGGTTCGGCTTCAGTCACTTTCCTACCGCCGTAATGTAGCTTCGTTGTGCCTTTTCTATAAATAACTTTGTAAATTCTTCAGATGACCATTTCGTTATGGTACCTAGACTCTCTAAGCAAAGTACTAAATTGGCGACAATATCTCATCAATTCACAGTATCTTTGTGTAGATGTAACCGTAACTTCTTTTCTAATAGTTTTTTTCTCGCTCATCTCACTTATGAAAATCTTTTCCGCCTACATACTTTCCAGTTAACTTAGACGTTCAAAAATTTAAATGCAATATCACTCTACTGTCTTGATTGCCTTTCTATTGTTCTCTATCCTTAAAAAAATGTCTTGTTTTTTATGACCAGCAGTAAAATCTAGAAAATAGAATCTTCAAAGAAGCCAAAAGAGTATAAAATAATAGATAAATAAATGAAATATTTAGTAACAAGCGCTACTTAACTAGGAGTTATGAGGTTTATTTCGCAGACTGTCGCATTTAGAACTGAGAGTAATTCTGGAGTTCCAATTGACGAGTACAATATAATCTGTTGGCGTGATCCAGGTTTATGTCAAAGAGCGTTCTGGTGCCGCCCGTTAGAGTTGCAAGCAGCGCGTAGTGATGTAGAAGTGAGCAGATTTTATGGAGTTCTCGCTGACTGATCTGTATTATAGAAGTTGTTCTAAGTGTCACCCCTCCCAAATCCCTGAAATGGAACCCCTAATTAAACAATCAAATGTACAAGGAGCATGATTTGAGTCTCCATTTCTCATTGTAATGTTAATTAGCATCTTTCATTTCTTTTGGACTTTTTCCAGTTTTCGAACACATCGACGCGAACGGTGAAAGAGAGGCATCATGGGGTTATTTGTCCGGTCGGTGAAAAGCTGTATTGTTTTGAATCATAATTTTACGTTTTATTCTAGCTGGTTATTCGATGCAATATTCATGTGTATAAACATATCTGTATCGACATTTATTAGAGTAGCACGTCTCCGAAAATGAAAATTAGTGGAGAAAATTTTATCATTTAAAATTGGAAAGAAAAAAGCAAAAAAAAAAACAAAACCAAAAACAAACAAACACCGAAACGGAAATAAGTTAGTAAGTATTAATTGGGATTATCTTCGTCTATATATTTTTTTCTCCGATCGAGAATAAAGAAAATGAAGATTATAATTTTTTTTTACATGCAGTCTGAATCTGATTACATCTTCGAGAAGTCTGCAACTTTCTATACATTCAATTCTGAAGCGGAATAATCTCGCAAATATGGGAAGACACGGTACACACACGTATGTGTGCTTTACAACAGTTTGCCGCTTGGGGCAGAATTCTAATTGGTAGACACTAAAACGCAGTCTAAGCGAATCCGTGAAAGCAGAGTTAGAATCAAACGAAGTCATTGGCCAAGTTTCAAATTAACAAGAATGTAAGAATGTATAATTTTATTGATTTCTGATAAGTTTTTATGGTGCTGGCAATTGAACATGTTTAGTTAATATCTTGATCACAGTGTGGTCTTCGTAGACTTTGGGCAATATTTTTGCACGTCAGTGTGCTTATCTCGAAATAATTTAAATTAAAAATATAAATACAACAATGGCGCTGGAATTATATTCTGTTTTATCGAATTATGTTTTAAGGCAAAATGTAATTAAGTTTTGTTTGAACAATATCGTATTTATTGAGAAACTGTGAAGTCGTTTTGAATAAAACATAATGAATATTTTCTTTGCAATTAAATTAAGGTGATATTTATATATTACTAATATTATTAAATTAATAATTGCAATAGTAACCGTTGTATTAAAATCAAGCATCTGGTATACTGTTTTTGTTATCTATTTAGAGATTCTTGATAAAGTACAAAGAATAATCTGCAATGTTATTGGACCTGACATGGCACTCGTCAATTTCCTATCGCCGTAACGAAGCTGTTCTGTAGCTTTTCAATAAATACTTTCATGGTTAATGTTCGGATGAAGTTTTCTCTATGTTACTTTATGAGTTCAAGCACTGATTTAGAATTGCGTCAAGCTCTCCTCACTTTACATTTGAAATATAGCTAGATGCAACCGTAGGTTCTATGCTAACAGTTTATTCTCGGCAAATTCTGTCTTGTAGAACTCTCTTCCAGTTTCTTGCGTTCCACTTAATTTTCCTCTTCAAAAATTTAAATGCAATGTCAATCGTTATCTTCTGTTTTGTTAATTCATGTTCTTTTATTGTTAATAATGTTTTCTTTTCTCACTATGTGTAACGTCTTGCTCCTTAGTGGCTTTAGTGCCTTGCGTGGGGTGAAATGATTAAAAGGCAAACAGCCCAAAAAGTGAGAATAGCCATAAATCTTATGTTGTTCTCTGTACTAGCTCTCACGTTCCCTGTTCTGACATCCATTTGCACAAGTTTGTTCGGTAGCTATTTCGTTGTCTTAAAAAAGGCAGCATTTATTAAGGGCTACAAAGCAGAGACATTCATGTCAACAACCTGAAGGGACATTGGGGCATGGAAGAAGAAGAAGAAGAAGAAGGGGGGAGAAGGAGGAGGAGGAGACGAACAGAAGAAGAAGAAGGGGGGAGTAGGAGGAGGAGGAGAAGACGAACAGAAGAAGAAGAAGGGGTAGAAGAAGGAGGAGGAGGAGAAGACGAACAGAAGGAGAAGAAGAAGAAGAAGGGGGAGGAGGAGGAGAAGACGAACAGAAGAAGAAGAAGAAGAAGAAGAAGGGGAGGAGGAGGAGGAGAAGACGAACAGGAAGAGGAGGAGGAGGAGAAGAAGAAGAAGAAGGGAGGAGGAGGATAAGACTATCAGGAGGAGGAGGAGGAGAAGAAGAGGGAGGAGGAGGAGAAGACGAACAGGAGGAGGAGGAGAAGAAGAAGGGGAGGAGGAGGACAAGAAGGGGAGGAAGAGGAGAAGAAGAAGGGGAGGAGGAGGAGAAGACGAAGACGAACAAGAGGAGGAGGAGGAGGAGGATTTTGTGTCAACGGTTATTACTGCAAGAATCTGTAGCCTCAGAACTGAAATTAACAAATTAACGTTTTCACTCATCGTGACATCGCCTTAGATTTAACAATGAAAAGCTGGCAACTCCCAACACATCCGACATTAGTAATTACGATGAACAAATCTTAGGGATAATTTTTTTTACAAATTAACTTCATTTCTCTTGTGGCCTGTATTCATCCGGCGCCAAATTTATGTTGCTCTGAGTAAAACAAAAAGCAGAAGTTTACAACCGTCAGGGTAAATGTAAGGATTCACGTTTCATTTCACGTAATACTGTCTTCAAACAATTTGAAAACGAAAGTACATAAAATTTTGAAATATTATTTTTGAGAAGATAAATTATGATGCGGTCGTATAAAATTCCTTTAAATTTCTTTTATGCAAAAATCATCTTAGAAAAATACAAACATATCCATGATATTTTCACAATTCGACAAAATAATAACTCTTTTCTGCTATGTAAACAATATATATATATATATACATGAATATGTGTATGTATAGATATGTGAATATATTTCTATATGTGTGTACATGGGTATATATATGTGTGTATGTGGGTACACGCCTATATGTATATACGTGTATATGTTATTGTGTATGTGTGTATTCGCATGTGTTTTTGAACATAAAAATATAGGTCCTTGCTGGATTAGATAATCGTTATATTTATTTTTATATGTTTATATTTGATTTGTAACCTGTAGTCGATATTAAATTTGTCAAATTTTCTCAATTACAAAGCGACACACCGTTCAATTTTATTTTCCTTCGTCCCATCTCTCTCCCCCACCTCGTCTTTTCCTCCCTCTTAATCTAACATTAGAGTGTCTATGGTGTGTGTATGTCACCACGAAATGTATCTTTATGCATTAGACATCCGACAACATTCATATTTCTCTTACTTAAACCCCTTCCACCCACCTCTCCTAAAATTCTCTCTGTTAAGGTTTAATCTCCCTACTTCTCTAGACTCTCTCTACATTCTGTTTTTATTTCCGGGGTTGTTTTTTTCTGTTTTCTTCTTGAATTTGTAGGTCTGATGAATTGGATCGTATTTACGATTCCAATGGAATAAATTATGACCATGGAATATTAGTGTTTAAGCCTTTTTTTATTATATATATATATATATATATATATATATATATATATATATATATATATATATATATAAAATATTAAAAAACAAAATCTAACACTAATTCCAATAGTGGAATATTACTTTATTTAACTATCCTAAGTTACTCCTCTCCCTCATCTTAAAACTGTTTATACTACATTGATTATAATTTATAAACCTAATTCTTCTTTCGTAAATCTCGAACGTCTCTTTATATATAAACTCTTTTAAATTTCTTTGTCAATTCATTCTTAATTTCTTCTTTAAGTTTAAAGTTAAAAAAAAAAACTAACTTGCGTTCTCTTTTAATAACCCCATTTGTCGTCATTAGGTTAATATCCTTGTTTTTCTTTAATAAAAATTCTTCCCTTTAAGATAGATAGTTATCACCCTCCTAAACTCCTGACTCGTGTCTAGCGACCAACTGAAACAGTGAAAAGTCGAAACTCTGTATTAGGTATTTTTGTCATGTTATGGTTTAAGTTGACCCTTTAGCTTCTAATATCAATCCATCACAGTTAACTCCTACTGCATCCTACTTCCGCTAACCTTACAGACATGAACTTCATGCCAGACTGAGGTTGAAAAGACAGACGTCCACTTTCGTCGTCTGCCGAAATAGCCTATTCCCCATTTGAGGCAAAAGGATTTGTTTGATTATTAATTGTATTGCTTTGTATAGATAAAATACATCGAGCTCTTTTTTGTGAATCAGTTCTAACATTATTATATTACTAGGATTCACATGGATATTTTACCTTATATATATATATATGTCTGCTCTACCTTGTATTGGGCACATTTTTAGTTAGTTGATTACTCATATCGGGGTTTCTTCTTTGGGCTTTGAAGCTTTGAACCTGTATGCTGTACGATTATTTTCGACAAACGTTCATGTTCCTAGCTCTTTCTTTTTTTTTTAAACCTTTTTTTCCTTTGAAATTGATTTGATCATTAGCAAATCAAGAAACCGAAGGTTTTCCGAGACGAGTGTAGTTACCGATATATATATATATATATATATATATATATATATATATATATATATATATATATATATATATATAAAAATGAAAGAGCCAGGAACTACCTACTGTGTTTTTCACCTAAATGGATCCTCAGGGTAAGATGGATAAAGAGGAAATAACACGGAACATATTTATTATTTTCTTCCTTTGTTCTACTTACCGTATTGAGCATTCTACGTTTTATCATAGTTACTCGCTTGGGCTTTTTTTCTTGGTCTATTTTGTATGTGTGTGTGTGTGTGTTCATGCGTGTGTGTGTGCGCTTATAGATAGAGTGTATATGTAGAGGAATAGAGTGAGTCAAAAAGAGACAAGAGTAAAAACTATTCTTAGCAAACGCGATTCGTCCTCTGACACGTTTCGCCTACATTTCTTTAATAAATTCCCTCAGAGGACGAAACACCCCAGCTAAAAATAGTTTTTCCTCTTGACTCTTTTTATTCATATATATATATATATATATATATATATATATATATATATATATATGGATATATAGATAGATAGATATAGAAATATCAAAGAGTCACATCCAAGAAGAGAGCTCAGTATATAAAGTATACAGAGCAATATAATTTCTAGTAAAAAAAAAATAATAATGGTGATAAATTTATTTCGACAGATAATTTTTACCTGCCTCTTCAAACTGATACATTTTAATAAATAAATTAAGCCCGCCAACTAATAAATAATACATTAAAAAAATCAAACAGACAAAACCGGATAAAAAAGAAAGAAAATAAAGGAAAAAGAGGAGGAAAGAAAGAAAAAGAAAAAAAAAAAGGAGAAAAATTAAAAAGAAACTAGCCAAAAATGGCAGAGTTAACATGACCTGAAAAGTTTTTTCTGGTGTGTTTACATAATTTAAGAGGGGGTGGGGAAGAGAAAGAGAAGGAAAAGCAGTTAGATTCCACATTAAATGAAACAATGTTATACATTTAAATACCATCATAATCTTAATAGTAAAATAAAAAAATAATCAATAATCATTATTATTTATTATTTCTTTATTATTGATTATATATATATATATATATATATATATATATATGATTTATATAATATTTATTATTTATTTATTATTGATTATTGAGTATATATGTTCCTGAAAAATATATTTCGGTAGAGATATTTGAGGAGTAAGCGTGAGTTTGTAAACAATGACTATTACTGCTAATAGTGCAAGACTCTTCCGTAAAGCGAATCGAGTTCTCTCAGTCACTGTGTGTTTATCTAAAAATAAATGCGCTTAAATTCACCTTCATCCTTGCCATGCGCCAACGGCTTAGTGGTAGAATGTCCGACTGACGCTAAATCAGCTGGGTTTGATCCTAGCCAGAGGTAACCGGATGTCTAGCCACACTGATGAGTCGGTAGATGACAATATATATATATATATATATATATATATATATATATATATGAAGAAATATAGTCTTAAAGTGTGCTATATTTATGGGATAAAGTGCTCAATATCAGAGATATAGTGTGTAAATATAAAAGTGAACATAGAAGTCAACACTTATATGCGACAGTCTGTTTAGGCCTGATGATTGCATATTAGCATGAAACAGACTGTCGCCGCTATGTTGACTTCTATGTTCACTTATATATATATATATATATATATATATATATATATATATATATATATATATTATAAATTAATTGATTTAAAATATGTTTTTTCCGCTACACAGTTCTAACCATTTTTCAAAAATGGAAGCTAAACGCTACGAATTTAATTTTGTAATTAAATTAAAGACATTAATTCCATTTCCTCCTCAAGCGAATTTTGGAGTAACTTTTAAAATTACTGGGTTTTAAAGACACAGCTAAAATCATAATTCATGTTTCCAAGGTTACAGATGAATCCATTTTACTAGACGAGGGGTGTCTGGGTGTTCAATATGTTTATATTTTAATGTATCAGTTATTGCTACGTTTTGGTAGTGGGTAGGGATGTATTTTTCAATGAAATCTAACATCCGTTTAAAGCGTGTCGTCTGGATTTTTTTAAATTTTATTGTTAACGGCAAAAATTCTTACGGGATTTTTTCCTTCGTATATTTAAAGGGTTGGGTGTGAAAAAATGTTTGTTGTTAACATTCGTTTTTCCAGTTATGAGTCATTTTTTTTAAAGCTGATCGTTTTGTGTTCATTTTGTTTCCGCTCTTTCTTCGTAACAGATTTAATGTTTAGTATAGAGCTTAGAAAAATTTGCAGTGTGAGATAGGCAAAAGTAAGGCACGTAGCAACATCAGCACAGCGAATGGCACTTCTTTAAAGGAAAAGAAGGGCAAAAATATTTTAAGTCACGTGATAGCGATTGCTGTATGTGTCGTACGATTTTTGAATCAAGCACGGGCAACGCCGGACCATACTGGTAGTATATAAATATGCGCGTATACAACAAAGAAGAAGAAGAAGAAGAAGAAGAAGGTTAAAGGTCGGAGTGTTAACGCTTATTACGTAAATAACGGTACTGTTCCACTATCATTACAGTTTAATATAAATATCAATATTTAAATTATGTAAAGGTCAGTTTTCAATCAGTACCTGACGATTGCTTTTGTGCATGACACTCAGAGTTATGCTATCATCGAAGAAAAACAATGTTTATTTAGTATTAATATAAATTTTATCACTGTTTTTATATATCGAGCACTATTTTATTAGGACAAGCGCTCAATGCGTGATATTATAGAATATAATTTCTATTATATAGAAATGTGTATATTTTCATTTACGCTGACTGTTGTAAACTTCCGTCTGTTTCTTTTTCTATTCAGAGTAACATCAATTTAGCTCTAAATGAATACAGGCCGCAAGAGGAATGAACCAAGTTTATAAAAATATTATCACCAAGATTTGTTTATTGTAATTACTAATGTCGGATGTGTTGGGAGATGGCAGCTTTTCATTGGTAAATATAAAGCGATGTCACGTTGAGTGAGAACGTTAATTTAAGTTCTGAGGCGACAATTCTGAGAGGAATTGTTTATTCAAAAACTTGATAGGACAATTTATATAAGATTCTTTATCGACAATGATTTCGAATCAGGGTTTTGTATAATTTAACAACGCTGGTAAAACATAGAAATAATGTTTTTGTGTGAAGATTACTTTTTTCAATAATTCATTCAGCGTAAAACATTTAGGCCCCATGAAAAAATTAATTACTTTTGATAATTTTACCCCAAATACAAGAGTGATTACCAGTATGTTTTTCGCAGTACGTTGATGTACATTGATGGTCAAGAGACAACTTACTGCATTTCATTAATGCTGTACGGTGGATGAAAGAACATCTTAAGTGATTTTTGTATATAATATGACAGTGTATTTTTGAAAGGGAATAATGCCGAGTTATGTTCAATTGATTTAAAATCCATGAGATCAAAACATAGAATTTAAAAATAGATACAAACACAAATACAAAAGCCATGCCTTAAACATATAATGGCTAAACATCCGGATATAACAAAATAACGTAGAATATAAAAATTGTTACATATACAAACAGTAACGCCATAAGATTTATATGAGATGAATACAGAGGCAATTAAAACAATGTAGAATTTAAAAATTGTTACATATATAAACACTAACGCCATAAGATATACATGGGATGAATACACAGGCAATTAAAATTAATGTAGAATTTAAAAATTGTTACATATATAAACACTAAGGCCATAAGATATACATGGGATGAATACACAGGCAATTAAAACAATGCAGAATTTAAAAATTGTTACATATATAAACACTCACACCATAAGATATATATGGGATGAATACACAAGCAATTAAACAATGTAGAATTTAAAAAATGTTACATATATAAACACTAACGCCATAAGATATACATATGATGGCTACATGAACGCGTAACAGAAACAAACGTAGAATTTAAGAATTGATACATATATAAACGCTCTCCATAAGATATACACATGATGGATATACAAGCAAGTAAAACAATACAACAGAAAATTTAAAAATTGATTCACATATAAAAACACAAACGCCATAAGATATATATGTGATCGCGACAAAACCAAATAAAACAAAAAAGTTAGAATTTAAAAATTGAGAATTTAAAAATTGTACATCCACAAGAATAAGTGCCAAACGATATACATTTTATTGCTGCAAAACCATTAAAACAAAACAACGCAAAAAATGATACATGTATAAATTTTAACACCATAAGATGTACATGGGATAGCTATAGAGAATTTAAAAATGATATATATAAACACTAACGCCGTAAGTTATACATATGATAATACATAAACCCGTATGTATGTGATAGCTACACAATGATGTAAGACAAAGCAATGTAGAATTTAAAGTAAATTTGATACATTTATAAAGACTAACGCCATACGATATACATATGATGGCTACACAACCAATAAATTGAAAACAACAGACAATTTTAAAAATAGATACATATAGAAACGCTAACGCCATAAGATACGCATGTGACTGCTACACAATCGAGTAAGAAAAAACAGCTGAGAATTTAAACAATGATGCATATATAAACACAATGGCAATACGATATATACGTAATGACTGTACAGGCAAGTAAAAGAAAGCAACAGAGAATTTAAAAATTGATGCATGCATAAATACTAATGCCATAAGATATACCTATGATGTTTACAAAACCAAGAAAAAGAATCAATATATAATTAAATTATTTAAAACAAAATCTGGCTTTGATACAAGGACAAAGCCGTGAAGAACATCTGCATTAATGTGACAGCATCTAAAAGATTGGCCGTTCGATGTGACCTTCATTACACAATTTTGTAAGAGATATCTGATTAAATAAAAAATCTGGCCACCCTTTAGCCTGTGTAAATGACCAGTGCACCAAACATTGTTAGCGTCTTCGACATAGATAAAGACACTGTCAGAACTTCACCGTTTTTATCTAAACCGTGACAGATTAAAGCATTAATAATCATTATCACATCGGCTTTTGACCTTGTTGTTGCTGTTGTTTTTGTTTTTTAACACATTGGCGATTATGGCTCTCTACTATTTCCTGTCCTTTGTAGCTCTAAATAAATTTTGTCTTTTTGTTATCCCTCCTAAACACTGTTCCACCATCCATTTACTCAAACTCATTTTTCTTCTTTATGCGCCATGTTCCTTCTGGATGTAGGCAATCATGGCTCTCCACAATTTCCTGTCCTTTGTAGCTTTTAATAAATTTTGTCTTTTTATTATCTCTCCTAAGTACTGTTCCACCTTTTTTATGTACTCAAGTTTGCTAGGCAGGTTATGCGTTGTTTTCCTCTGTCCCTCTTTCCTCGATCTTTTCTGTGAGTATCAAATTTTCCAAGCCCTCTTTCCTCTTTATGAGCCTTAGAAATCTCAACTGTCTCTTTCTGATGTTAAGTATGGAATACTGTTGCCACATATGGTCTGGTGCCCTCGCTGTTCACCTTGAGGTTCTCGACAAGATCCAAAGACGTATATGCAATTTGATCTGCTCTGACTTGGGGGTCTCAACTTCAGTCACTTTCTCACCGATGTAATGTGGTTTCCCTCTCTCTTTTCTATAAATATTTTCATAGAATCCGCTCTGACGACACATTTTCATTGGTCCTCGCGACTGCATGCATTTAAATTTTTGATATTAGGTTGGCACCTCGTTCCCGCCATTTTACTGTGGAAACAATTAAATGTAATCGGTTCTTCTACTCCAACCGCTTCTTATCTCAAACTCCCGACAGTGGAACTCACTTCCTCTTATTTGCTTTTCGGATAACGTTAATCTTCAAAAATTTAAATGTAATGTCAATCGACATCTTCTGTTGCCTTGATCTCCGTTCTTCTTTTTACCCTCCTCTCTTGCTCTTTTACCCTTTCCTCATCCCCCCTATATGCAGT